TGCCCCCCACCGTAGTTTACTGTCAAGTTGGGCTGAATCACGTGGAACCCCAAAGGCTTTTTCTGGTCAATGCTGAAAGCAAAAATAGATGGAGAGGCTTCCTTTGTCATTTTTCTCTACCTTCACATTCCTACCCTCAATCCTCTGGACTTTATCACTTGATTGGTAAGAAGAAGCAAACTCAAGGAAGAAGATGCAAAGGACGACAAAAACTGGATGGGTGGGGAGGCAAAGCCAGAGTGCAGTAATGCTCACAGCCATGCTCTGTAAGGTGAGATGGAACCTGAGGAGTTAGAAGGGGAGCAAAGGGGTCCATCCAGAGATGAAGTGCAAAAAAACAAAAACAAAAAAAAACAAGAAACAGCAGGGTTGCCCCTTTTCTCAGGAGCTGAGAAATACCATGCTCTAGAATCTGACTCATCCTCTGGAAGAGAAGGGAGTCATGAGCCTTCTCCCACAAATAGACAATTCATGACTGTATGGTTGACTATGGAACTATTGACACACCTATCTGAAATGTCCTCAGTTAATTAAGGCACATCAACTTTTTATGTCCTAAAGTGAACGCACCGTCTTACCCTGCAAGAAAGCTCCCCTAAGTGGATCAATTTATCCACCACATCCCTCCAAGTCAGAACCGGGATTTTATTTTTGCTGCTCCCCACTTTTCAGCCAACTCAAATATCTATTCAATCTCCAAGCCCACTGATATTTTAAGTATTATTTTATTATGAAAAATTTAAAATACAGACAAGCAAAATGTGATATAAAAATTTGCATGTGGCCATCACCTGTTTAATCCTACCTGCCGTTCTTTATCTTTCCCAAACTCCTGACTTGTAACATATAAATATTTCTGAAATATTTCCTACCTCTTTCTCCTAGATTCTGCTTTGCTTAGTGCCTCAAGTCTTGTAGTGGTGTTCTACCAGAGCTACTTGGGTCTTAGTTAGTTTTCTTTATATTTCGAAACATGTTTTGAAACTCAAATCCAATCATATTTCTCTACTACATAAAATCTGTTGATGGACATTCTTTACCTGCTGAATATAATTCCAGATTCTTGGCAAGCGTTTTCTCAGTCTCAGCCATGACTACCTACACGGAGTGTTGGCCTGAAGCCTCTACCCTCATGCCCACTGTCCACCAGTACAATTCTCTTGTAAAATATGCTGCTCCTGCAGGCCTCCAGGCATTTAGGTAAACGTTTTCCTTTGCCTGGTTGGATTGTGGGGAATCCTTTGTCTAAACTGTTGCTTATACTTCAATATCTGACTCAAACATCACTTCCTTTTCTAATGCTTCTCTGTCAATAATCTTCACCCCTTTATCTTGCAAATGACCTAAGGAAGCCATTCCCTTTGAGTTGCCACTGTACTGATAAATACCTCTTTTATTTGTGACACACACTACAGTCTAATAATTTGGGTGTCAGTACATCTTCTCCATTAGCTATGGATCCCCTTAAGCTAGGAGCTGTGTGCCTGCCTGTGTTCTTGCCATGCTTAGCTCAGTGTACCAGAGGTGAACCAGGAAGAGTTTTTGGTCAGAGTAGGGCAAATATTCCTCCTTATTAAGAATTTTTAATAACATTTTAAAATGTATCTCCAATATAACTGTATCTCAAAGAATTTTTCATGGGACATCTTAATCTAAATACTTATTTTACAATCCACCAAGGAAGATTATAGAGTTAGTTACAGGGATTAGGTAGTATTGACTGGTGAATTGATTTGAACATTAGAAATAAGAGTGCCCAAGAAGCAGACTTTTACTTTTCTGTATTATACCCAACCAAAGAAACTTTCTCCTTGAAGATTAATTATTATGAAGTTGGACACTGGAAAGTTTAAATAATTCACATTTTTTTATTACTCACAAAGATAATTTCTTGCCTACCTCCACTATCTTGAGGGAAGGGGGGGTTACTTTCAGATAAGTGGTATTTTACCGAACAAGATTTGAGTTGGACCATAAGGGAATTTGTCCACATCATATATCCAGCCCAGAAGATAGGGAGATAGATAAGAAAATATTTTTCTTTCCAAATTCTTGATAAGAAAGAGAAGAGGTCAAGCACTCAAAACCATACAGCAGGAAGAGACACAAAAATTAATGTCAACTTTTGTTTATTTCTACCTATTAATATATTACCTAAGACCAGTAACAATATTTTAGAGTTAAGCAACATATTCGCAACTTAATGTATTTTTAGAAATAGTCAGTTAGGTGATATAAAGTAGTTCATTTTCTTGGACTCCAACCAATACGTCAGACCTCATGAGTTTTTTTCCTCTATATTTTTGCATATCATTTTTGCAGCTATAGCCCACAAGGGATACAATCCTCATCGTCCTCTCTATTACCAATAACTGATCTGAGAGCCAATTTCTTTTAAAGTTTAATATAAACTTCTCCCAGAATGCCATGAAGGGAGTCAAATTTAAAGATAAAAATGAAAACTTTTATTTTAATAAAAACTCAATTATATGCTTCTATGTTAACTTGCTTTTATAATGTGAACTCTGACAGCAGGGCACAGATCCTGACTTTTTGATTAATTTTTACTTATTTCCCAGTATAGACATATTCACATTTGGGAACTGGGAAAGTCCATAAATATTTGAGTAACTGAATGATTGAATCAAACCTAATATGGTTGAACTATTTTGCTTATGTTCAATTTGTGAGACACTCTCACTTAATTTTAAGAAACTAATTTAATTTGTATTTTATGCATACATAGACATATATATCTACTTTCTGAGTATATATCGCCATACAGAGTTGCATAATATATTTATTTATATAAAATAGGTAAATTAATCAAATACATGCATGTTAATAAAGTATTAACTCTTCAGCATTTTATAGAAGACCATTCACAATTTATCTTACTTTATTGTCATATTTCAGCAAATTTCCTTACGTACTCCATCTTCCATATGCTGTGCTTTAGGGGCATTTGACTGCTGCCTGGCCAAATGCTAAATGTGAACAAAGTGTCTTAAACATGCTTTTAAAATTTCTAAAATTTTCAATCTTTTAGGTGACTTTGTACATACTGGTACCACAGGCTACACGATACCACCTTCTACTGTCTGACTCTGATGGAATCAAACTTTTACATTACCTGCCTGGCCTATACAAGGTTTTAAGAACTTAACCTTCTTTGTTGTTTCATATCTCAAAATTGTTGGTCTCCAGGAGAAGCTCAAAACTCTTCCCTTGCTGCTCTGCTCTTCTGTTTTGCCAACAATAAATCAGGTCAAATGCTAGGGATTAAAATTTTCATGGGAATTTGGAATTTCCACTCAACCTGCCAGGAAGGTATCTACAGTAAAGTGAAAAGCCATCTGACACCACAAAGAAAAAAAAATCTTAGGTGTGATGCCTGGGCTCGCTCTGCTCTATTTTTCTCATCAGTTACAGATAATAATACCTAACACCTAGAGTTTCTATAAAGCATTAAGCAAACTAATATTTATAAGGCATTTGGAATAAATCTTCAACTTTTAGTAATTACTGTATGTGAGCAATAGCCAGTATATTAATTAAATGTTACACAACTCACCCTTTAAAAAGAAGTTAAGCCTGGTTTGAATAAAATGAAGAATAATGATTCAAGACATTTTTCAAACCTGACTTGTGTGTATGATTCCCCTATGATTTCTCTCTGTGCTCCCCTATTAGGCTTCTTCCAATCTTCAGAATATCCCAGTCACTTTTCTGCCTGCACTTTTGTCCAAAATTTTTTACTCCTTTAGTGTCCTTTCTTTTTCTCTTTCTCTCTGATACTTATCTATCCAATATTCTCCAGTTTGAGTCTATCAGTTTTCTAGAGCTGCCATAAAAAATTATGACCAAATTAGTGGCTTAAAATATCAGAAATTTATTCTCACAGCTCTGGAAGCTGAAAGTCTGAAATCAAGGTGTAAGCAGAACCATGCTTTTTAAAAGGGTCTAGGGAAGAATGCTTCCTTGCCTCCTCTAGCTTTTGTGGTTGCCAGCTATCCTTGTCATTCTTTGGCTTGCAGTTACATCTTTCAATCTCTGCCTCTGTCTTCACAAAACCGTCTTTTCTGTGTCTCTGTGTCCAAATTTTCCTCCTTTTATAAGGATGTAAGTTATTGAGTTAGCGCCCATCCTAATCGAGTATGACCTTGTTTTTGTTTAATTACATATGCAAAGGCCTATTTCAAACTATGTCCCATTCATAGACACCGTGGGGTTAGGACTTGAACTGTGCTTTTTAACCCACAACAGGATTTCATGTCACTGGAAAATATTCTTCTCCACCAGACCATCATAATCATCTCTGAGAAACACTTATTTTCTAATCAAATTTTTAACAGATCATATAAACCCGCTTTCTGATGTTTAAAAAGGGTTTATGAACCTTTATCTTCTCTGATAAATTATGTTGTAAGAGTTTAAAGGTAAAGACTATATTATTTACTTTTTTATTGTTCACATTGTATACTCTTCCATGGAACAATAGCATGCATATAGTTGTAAATAACTGCATTAATGAATACATGAAAAGATTACAGGCCTACTAATGCAGAATTTTTCTATGGAACAATAGGTGAAAATAAAGAGTACATGATAAGAACATGTCAATTTGTAATCTCTGACTGTTCATTTTTAATTTATGTTGTCCTTTTGACGGATTATGTAGATTATTATAAATTCAAACAGCATATATTTATTGACATGGTTATAATTTACACATAGAAATTTGAAATACCTTACTTAATTATATCTAGTGCTTTTGAAGTAAGAGATCCTATTTTGCTTTGCAAGTACAATAAAGGTCTCATATTATAAACAAGAATAAGACAAGTGTGGAATATGGGTACTTTAGTACTAAGGAATTGAGATATAAACATTGTATACCTTAAAGTGTTTAACAGTCAACATTCCAAAATACTGTTGGAAAATAGTAGAAATGTATGTCAATTATGTAAAAATAATATTTTAAATTGATATGCCCACAGATGATAATGAATGTGAAATTTTTGCTCAGACCTGTGGCGAAAATGCTAATTGCACTAACACAGAAGGAAGTTATTATTGTATGTGTGTACCTGGTTTTAGATCCAGCAGTAACGAAGAAAAGTTTATCACTAACGATGGAACCTTCTGTATAGGTAAGTTTGGTTATCTAAGTTAAAATTTGTATATATCTCTCATCGTTTATTACTTCCAGGGATTAAATATATGCAAACCAAGTTCTGCCAGACCTAGGTGCTGGGTAATTTAATTTCAGAGCTTTCATAAATGTCTTTATTTCTCCATTGTTTTATAGTTTATGGGCCATTTACCCAAGAATATAATAATTTTTGTTTTAATTTTTGAGAAAATTAGTTTGCAAAAAGTAAAAAGAGAGAGAAATCTTCATCAAGCCATGAGATCTAGCATAGTGGCAAACAACAGAATAAATATTTACAGTTTAGAATAATATACTACTTCGAGAAAAATGTCATTTGCATTAAAAGATATTCGTGACTTTGTAAATATGCACTCTGTGATGGGTTCTACATTTTTTTCAGACAATCATTTATAAAATGACTGTTCTAGTGGTTTTACTTCTGCTTTGATAAAAGTTAGTCACACTTCAGATGTGCATTAAGTTCTTCTATACACTAGAGTCAGCAAATTATTTATAAAATAATGTCAGGGTCACTAAAAAAGTCCTTTGCAGGGAAAATAATTTCCATGTAATTTTTAAGTGATTGTTCACTTTTGTGGGTCTGAAGGGAGTACCCAGACGACTTTAAAAAATATCCTTCTATTGTAATTTGATCATGTATGTGATTTATCAGATCCAAGAGAATTGGATTACAGCCTGAGAAAAAATAGTTATTTAGAAACTTCAATAGGTGAATAATTTTCAGAAGCAAATTCTCTGGAGCCAAAGACTTTAACTTTGAAAATAAACTTTAGATCATCTTAATCATGGTTTCTAAAAAATATTCAGCTTAGCAATAACTCTTATAATTATGATTGGTCATCTACAAAATAAATAGGTACACTGAGGCCCTGAGAATGAAATCATGTAGCCAAAGTTAGACATGGGACTAGAATTCAGGAACCTACATGCAACATAGACAAGGGTAATGTGCCACTTCTAAGTGATATTGATAGATAAGAGAGATATTCAAGTTAATCAAGATTACACTAAAGACTTTGATTAGTGCCCTAGTGAGATTAAAAAAATATATATTTTTTTTGAGATGAAATCTCACTCTGTCATCCAGGCTGGAGTGCAGTGGCACAATCCCAGCTCACTGCAACCTCCGCCTTCCAGGTTCAAGCAATTCTCCTGCCTCAGCCTCCGGAGTAGCTGGGACTACAGGTGATCATCACCATGTCCAGTTAACTTTTTGTATTTTAGTAGAGATGGGGTCTCACCGTGTTGTCCAGTCTGGTCTCAAACTCCTGAGCTTAGGCAGTCTACTTGCCTCAGGCTCCCAAAGTGCTAGGATGGTAAGCTACGAGACAGTGTTCAAAAAATCTATCTGTGATATGTCTGTATTAAAGAAATCATCCAGTCTTGGGTGCCTGTGCTTCACAACATTTACTCTGCTATGTAAAAAAGGAAAATTTTATTCTCCTCACTTTATTGCCAAGGAAAGTAAAGGGCTAGTCTAAATTCATACATTTTGGGTAAAGGTAAGACTAGATTCACAGTCTTGCATCTAAAAACCCTTTGTTATTTCCACAGGATACTTAAATGTCTAGACCATTTAAATATCACTTTGATCTGAATAATGCAAATATAGTGGATCGAGTTTTGCAACAGTAAAAAATATTTAAAATACGAGAAAATAATGCTATTAGTGTTGAATGGTAATTTTACCTTTAGTGTTTGCAGAAAAAAAGTTTTATTGCAATATAGCATAACAATATACTCAGGAAATAGGAATCAATGAGATTCTGCCCAGAAGACTTACAGTACTTCCCTGTTTGTTCTTCTCAAGCCTATATTCTTGTTACTAGTCTTAGAATGTCATATAATGTGCTTTTTACCTTTAGCAGGTCAGGTCTAGTATGTAGCCCTGCAAGCTTTAGGGGAGATGTTCCAGTCAGTGAAGAAGCCTAACTCGTAACATCTTAATCACTGTAATTTAATACAATTTTAACTGTGCTTTCCATTCCCTAATGTCTCTTGTCGGCAGAAGACATCTGTCTTTTTATCTGATCATGTTTACTTTTAATATCCCTAAATTCACAAAGGGCTATATCTCTCTGTTCATGTTCCTTGAAGTAGAGAATTTCTACATTAGGAAACACTGAATAGTAGATACAGAGAAAACACAAACATACAAAGATGACTCAATGGCAAAATTTTATGGGGGTAGTAGATTTGTAATTGAATGCACTTTCTCTTTTGATAGTCAATTTCTATTGAGATAAGGTGGAATGAGCCTAAGTTTGTGCTAATTCACTTTTTAGCTATTTTAAGTAGTCAGTAAACACACTAACCGTACTGAAGCCTAATATCGAATTTTGAGTCCTTCTGTTTCTACCTGTTTAGTTTGATGGGTTTTTCAGTGAAAAACTCATTCTCTAGAAAAATGCTATTTCTCATCAATTTTTGTTGCCCTTAAAGATTACGCTTTTTTGAAAAACAGTGTAGCTATTTGTTTTTAGTCCAGTCCTGCGGTACTTTTTGTTGCACAATATTGCAATCCTCAGGGAATTTGAACAGAGAAACATAAATCTACTCCCTTTTGCATTAGCGTAATACCTTACAGTATATTGCTCCTGATTTGAAATTTTAACTTATCCTTAAATTTGACATTTCTGGTAATTATACTCATTAAAATCCCTATGAATAAAAAAAATGGAAGACTTGATATAGGGCAAGAAATGACCCAAGCAAATTTTTTTTACCTTTAGTCCATATTCAAATACTATTTTTTACACATAAGGTCATCTTGGTGCAGAAGACGCTGGGTAAGATTTGGCACTACACTGAGATTTTCCACTACCCCCTGGATACAGTAAAACAGAACTTCAGAAGTCCAGCTCCTGGAAACCTAGTTACACACCAGAATTTCACAAATGGAGAAGCTGAGGCATCCAATACTAAAGTATACAGTTAATCTCCCAAAATTAGTAGAATCCAGGAATTCCTTCAATTTTCCCATGTGTTTTAGAGCATTGTTTACTGCTTGTAATGTCCTACTGCCTTGAGTACTTGGTGATAATTGTAGATTATTTTTCTAGCTTTGAATAATATTAAATTTTGTCTCTGAAAATCATTTACTATAATTGAGCATTTTATCTTTGGTAGTCTGTGAGTTACACATTAGAAAACTCTATTATTTATAATAATTATAAGAATAATAATTATTATAAGAATAATTATAACCGTCAGATGATCATGTTTTGAAAGAAGATTATGACAAAATCTTGGTGAATTGGCTAATTATACACATGAAAAACAAGCATAATGTTGTTGTTATTATTATTATTGAGTGGAGGTCTCATTCTGTTACCCAGGCTGGAGTGCAGTGGTGCAGTTATGGCTTACTGCAGCCTGCAACTCCTGGGCTCAAGCGATCTTTGTGTCTTAGCTTCCCAAATGGCTGGGACTACACTGCACCTCACCTTGTCTGGCTAATTTTTAAATTTTCTTTGTAGAGACAGGTCTGGCTATGTAGCCCAGCCTGGTCTCAAATTTCTGGAATCAAGTGATTCTGCTGCCTCAGCCTCCCAAAGTGTTAGGATTACAGGTGTGAACCATCATGCCTAGCCAAGCATCACCTATTAATAAAAAAGTAGCAAATGAGTTAAGATCGTTAATGATGTGCTTGCATTTAGTGACATGAAATTATTAATTTAAAATCAAATGATAAGTTTGTAGTGAGGAAAGTGGGTCAATCAGTAAATCTGGTCTGTCAAATCTAGCCTGACTTAAATAATTACCTAACAGCAATTTAGCTTTCATTAAGATAGGAAAGAGGTTCTTTTTTTATATATATATAGATTTGGAGATTACCAAGACACGGTAACCTAGAAAAACACCCTTTGTTTATCTGTATCTTCAAACCTACTTAGTCACAAGGCTCCTGCCATTAGGAAAACATGCAATATGAGTAGAGTCACCAGTCCTGATTTTCGAGTTACCATATCAGGTGGCAACTGTATCCTAGGCACTACTCCAACCACCTTCCCATATATTTTCTTATTTGTTCATGAGGTAGAACTCTTTTGAGTTAGAAGGTGTCTTTTTAAGATATTACCCAAGGTCATCACACAGCTAATGGGACTTTTCCTGCAGGAAAAGGAAACGGTAGGTTTTAGCCATTGGACCTGTAAGAGATTGCAAGAGAAATTAATGCGGATCTTGCTGCAGAACGACAGGCACATTCATTGTAGCCAAGCCAGTTTCACTGGACGTTTAAGTGCAAAGTGCAAGAAGGAGGATAGAAATTGAGTTCGTGGAGCTAAGATTTTTATGTTGGTCAAAGATTGGGTTTGGGATGAAGTTTCAACGAATGCTGCACATTTAAATGGTTTGAAATAGGAGAAATCACCACCTTGTTTGCTGTTACCCATAGAAGGCATCTAAACTACAAAACAAGGGTATTTTTCTGGCTCATGAAATAAATTTTTTTTGTTTGTGGTATTTCACGGGTCTGTTCACACTTTCATTGGGGTGTTTTCCAAGTTGGAGTATAACATTTGGTACTTCAACAGTTCTTGAAAAGACTCATCTTTGCTTTAGTCCTACGTATTTTCCTCACTTTCATTGATTTCATGAAAAGTGACAACCCTAGTCTGCACTACAGCCTGAGTGCTTCTGTCTTTAGCCCAGCCTAGAATACTTTCTTTGATGGTTCGTCATATCCCAAGGTTGACCTGCCACTACTTGTCCCCTACTTTATTTTCTGTTCATTCATTTTTGTGGAGTGGTAGTTCCTGAATACAAATAGAAATGAAAGGATGAGGTGTGAGGGTGCTACAGGAGCATTTCTGCGTCTTTAGAAGTAGTGTTCTCAGATTGCTGGGTAGTACAGATTATGAATATATAGGCTTGTCAGAAGAACAAGAGTTTTCTAACCTTTCAGGCCTGGGCCATTAACTGCCCTCTTAACTCTAGTACCATCACCTTTCTGGTGAATGGAACTTTCTTTAAGACTCTAGCAAGAAGCTCACTTTTAATTTTTGATTTTGGTGGTGTGAATTTGGATGTGCTTTCTAGATCTTTGTTGGATTTTTGAGTGAGAAATTAGAAACAGCTGCATTTAAGATAACTAGGTATATTATATTTTAAATTAGACTTATTACTCACTCTTCTTCTTTTTTCTTTTTTTTTTTTGAGACGGAGTTTTGCTCTTGTTACCCAGGCTGGAGTGCAATGGCGCGATCTCAGCTCACCGCAATCTCTGCATCCTGGGTTCAGGCAATTCTCCTGCCTCAGCCTCCCGAGTAGCTGGGATTACAGGCACGTGCCACCATGCCCAGCTAATTTTTTGTATTTTTAGTAGAGACGGGGTTTCACCATGTTAACCAGGATGGTCTCGATCTCTTGACCTCGTGATCCACCTGCCTTGGCCTCCCAAAGTGCTGGGATTACAGGCTTGAGCCACCGCGCCCGGCTACTCACCCTTTTTCTACAGCAAACAGTATTATGTCACCATATTAGTTTTAAATAAATCTAATGTTCATTTATTAATTTAACAGAAAGTATCTTTAAGATGTCAGAGCTGGGGTAGAAACAAAAATATTTGCGTTAATTCAAGGTAATGATCTAGACTCTTCAGTTTTTCTTAGAATCTTTTTTTTATAGTGGTAGGTTACTTATACTGTACTTATAATGTAAAGCATATTTCACTGTAGTAAGTAAAGTTTTAATTAAGAATATATATTATATAGACTTAAAGCCCATCACCTTTATTACAGCCTCAATACATAGCTTTTGAGAATGTAAGACTTAATTCTGTCTAATGTATTACTTTATCTATGACATATGTATTAAGAACAACAGTGAAATAAAACTTGAACAAAAGTAATAAGTTCTAATAAAATTTAAAGGAAATTCAAGCACACATTCTGCTACATCTTAGTTTTTTAGGTTAACTTACATGTAAAAATGAAGCTTTGGAAAGAAATTAGGTCATTCTTTTATCCTCCAGATTACACTGTGTTGTTGAAATCATTTTCATTTAATAATAGAAAACAAATAAGTTTAAATGTGTTTCTTAAATTGGGTCTTTGTCAAATTAGGACTAAATGTTCTATCATCCATAGTGGAAATTACTGTAATGAATTTGTTGATTAATCATGCAATTCAGAAAGCAGTTTGAGAGTTTGGCCCATGAGTAATATTTTAAATACTCTATTGAAAATTGATTGGCGGTCCTAAAGTTAAAAAATATATGCAGCAGCTGGGCGCAGTGTCTCACGCCTGTAATCCCAGCACTTTGGGAGGCTGAGGCGGGCATAACGAGGTCAGGAGATCGAGACCATCCTGGCCAACATGATGAAACCCCGTCTCTACTAAAAATACAAAAACTTAGCTGGGTATAGTGGTGCGTGCCTGTAATCCCAGCTACTCAGGTGGCTGAGGCAGGAGAATTGCCTGAACCCAGGAGGCGGAGGTTGCGGTGAGCTGAGATCGCGCCATTGCACTCCAGCCTGGGTAAAGAGCGAAACTTCGCCTCAAAACAAAACAAAACAAAAACAAAAATTAGCTGGGCATGGTGGCCAGTGCCTGTAGTCCCAGCTGCTCAGGAAGCTGAGGCAGGAGAATTGCTTGAACCTAGGAAGTAGAGGTTGCAGTGAGCTGAGGTCGTGCCACTGCACTCCAGCCTGGCACCCAGCGATAGAGCGAGAATCTGTCTCAGAAAAGAAAAAAAAAAAAAAAGTATATGCAGCTAAGTTTGTTCTGCCATTGTCTAAATGATAGTATTTCTCTTGCTGTCTTGTAAAATTTGACATGAAACTGCTAACTATAAGTAACACTATTTTCAATAAAGTAGCAAGCATATGAGCACTAACAAAATTTTTTGAAAATATTAATATTTCCAGATATAGATGAGTGCAGTGAATCACTTGTCTGTGGTGATCACGCCGTATGTGAAAATGTCAATGGTGGATATAACTGCTCCTGCAAAGAAGGTTATCATACATCCACAGGAAAATCACAGTTCACACCTAACGATGGCACATACTGCCAAGGTAAATTACATTATCAAATTTTACGTATGATCGAAGAACTACTTAAAATATGTAGTACACAGTTGGGAAGTGTCATAGAGCTACATCTTCCGAGAAATGTGCCTGTATTTTTTATCTTTTATGGAATAAAGAAATAAAAGCCTATTTTTTATTTAATCAAAATTGTAGATAACATATTTTATGTAACTAGCATCCCTGGTCCTTAAAACTCCTTTATTGCATTTTCTGTAAAATATCGTACATTCTAAAACTGAAGAGGGAATTCGGGTGTTAGAGAATGTTCTTTTAATATTTAAATAAGTGAGCAAGATCATTGGGATTGATATAATCTGCTTAGGAAAAAACTTTTTTAAACTTACTGTATAATCTATTTTCCTTTTCTACAGAAAATGTGAATGCAAACTGCCATTTAGATAATGTCTGTATTACTGCAAATATTAATAAAACTTTAACAAAGGTAAGTAGAACAGTTAACAATTTATTTTATTTTGACATTTTGGTTTCAGTTACAATGCTTTCAGTGTCACACATTTCAAGAAGAGTAAACAGTAGTCAAACGTTAAGGAGTTGAAAACATTTACATATAGAGATCTAAGCAACATGTTTGCATCAAAGATAGGGTAAATATGAAACTCCCCAAATTATTCAAGAATTTTACGTATTTAATATGCTACATTTTCATTACTCCATATGTTAGACATTTCTTTTTACACAAAAAAATTGATTAGAAAATAGTAAAGAAATTATTTCACTCTAGACACATCCCACATTCTAAATAGACATAACTGAATGCACCTAGATTAGGTATCTCAAAGTGAACATTTCAAAGAGCAAATGAAGTAGGTCATTTATGAAATTATTATCATATGATTTAAAATGTGATTCTTAACATGAGTAATCAACTATCAGTTTAAACCAAATTTTTGTTTAATCACATTGTAAATACTTTTTCTGGTTGATTAAAATCTAATTTAAAATATTATCATTTATTGCTTAGGATATCAATATTTATAAGTACTAAGGAGTTTATTAAGGTAGATTCATTGGCTATGGTATAATTCTATATTGAAGAATAGTAAGTTATTTTGAAAGCTCATCTTTAAAAATTATTAATTCGAACATGCTCTGTTTCTTTTCTAAAGTAACGTCAATGCTTTTAAGGTATTTGCTAATCTCTTGTAAATAAATTCAGGTTTCAGCGATGCATGTGATGGTTTAGGTTTATTAGTCTGATATTATTTATGTGTACAGCAAGAAAATTAACCTCAGAATAAATTTAATGTATGTTTTATTCTTGTAAAACTCCAGTAGAACTGTTGTAGTTTACTTTATGTGGACTCATTTTTTTTCTCAGATCAGACCTATAAAAGAACCCATGGCTTTGCTGCAAGAAGTCTATAGAAATTCTGTGACAGATCTTTCACCAACAGATATAATTACGTATATAGATATATTAGCTGAATCATCTTCATTGCTAGGTTACATGAACAACACTCTCTCAACCAATGACACTCTTTCTAATTCAACTCTAACTGTAAGTATGTTCAGCTTTAACTCAATATCATTGAGCTTTGAATTTTTCCTTTCATCTGTGATTAGTGTAGGATTCAACACTTCTAAAAGACATACTTTTTTTTCAATAGGAATTTGTAAAAACCGTGAATAATTTTGTTCAAAGGGATACATTTGTAGTTTGGGACAAGTTATCTGTGAATCATAGGAGAACTCATCTTACAAAACTCATGCACACTGTTGAACAAGCTACCTTAGGGATATCCCAAAGCTTCCAAAAGACCACTCAGTTTGATACCAATTCAACGGATATAGGTAAGAAACAAGGGTTCATTTCAAAGTAATAGTGTTTTCCATATAAGCCATTTTCAAAGGTTGGGGTGAGGGTTAGGAGGCATGATGTTGAAACTAGTATTGATAAAATTAAAAGCCATGTTATCAGTGTAGAAATGAATGGGGATGCATATTGCAAAGCAATGTGAATAAAGTACTAGTATAAAGGATAAATACAAAAGCGTTGTCTCCTTCCTGTCATGTCCTCCACCTCTTCTGATTCCCAAACTGCTCAGCAATTAAATGGACAGAGTACCTTACTTCTTGTCATTTTGAGTCCGACATCTCATGACTTATTAGGGTCTATCTTGACCAATGATCTTTTGGATATAGTTTATTTATTTATTTATTTATTTACTGAGACAAAGTCTGGCTCTGTCACCCAGGCTGGAGTGCAGTGGTATGATCTCGGCTCACTGCAACCTCCACCTCCTGGGTTCAAGCAATTCTCCTGCCTCAGCCTCCTGAGTTGCTGGGATTACAGACGTGTGGCACCACACCTGGCAAATTTTTGTTCTATTGGTAGAGACGGAGTTTCACCATGTTGCTCAGACTGGTCCCAAAACCCTGGCTATCCACCTGCTTTGGCTTCCCAAAGTGTTGGGATTACAGGCATGAGCCACCATGCTGCCAGATGTTACATATTTAAACTTCTATTTAGGAATCCTTTGCATGTTGATAATACAAAGCAATCAACATAGCAAATTAAAATGTTTCTTGCTTTATGCAAATTTATGCTTAAAATATTAAGAACCTTATATCAAATTGAAGATGCCTATAAAGTTTTTCTGAGGAAGCAAGATAAGTTTGCTAAAATAATAATTGCATATATCTTTATTGCATTTTCTTGGTAGCATTCTGCTGTGCAACAGTAGATTTACAAAAATCTGATCGGGATTCATCATGTACTCTAAATCAAGGTTTCAAGCATTATGACTAATATATAAGTGCTCTACATTTTTATAATGTTTCTGCATGAAAATGGTGATAATACAGCAGGACAAAGGAATTATTACTCAAATGTTTAATTAAGTCACTCATTAGTAAGTTATAGACACTATACTATAAGACATTGTAGTTGCTTGTCTTTGCTTTAGTAATCACAATTTTATAGCTTCCTTGGTTATATACACGTATTATATTTTATTTAATTCAACCAAGGTTAAATTAAACCATGAGTGCCATAGTGAAATTAGAAAATTGAAACTTGAGTCAGATTTTTAACATATATATTATATTGTCCAAACATGTTAAGAATGTGTTCATTCTACTGGCTATAAATAAGTTAAAACACGATAATAATGGATGAAATTGTCTCCCAGCTAATATATTTATGGATGTACATTGATGAAACTAATCTCAGTTTTTTTATTTTAATGATTTTGTTTCAGCTCTCAAAGTTTTCTTTTTTGATTCATATAACATGAAACATATTCATCCTCATATGAATATGGATGGAGATTATATAAATATACTTCCAAAGAGAAAAGCTGCATACGATTCAAATGGTAGGACTTTAACAATTGAATAGAAAATATATCATTGAATTTGCAATAAATACTTATCATGCATTTGATTATATCATACATACATGTAACGTGTGATTTCCTGTAAAAATATTTGATGTCTGTACAGTATACAGAATATTCGTATACTTACTTGAGATTCCCATTCTGATATAAATACCTGGGGAGAATTTTAGCTGACAATATCTGGGTCCTTGTCTTACCTCCAACTTTTGTTACTGTCTGATATTTTTGAGATTCTAATAAAAATATACAAAAGAACTCTGATTTTACTACTCCTTATACAACAAAGAGACTATATTTGCAGTTCCTTTAATATTTTTCTTCAGTGTCCATCATATTCTTCATCATGAGACAAAATTTGTGATTATGTGAGGAAGAAGAGTAGGTTTTTTTCAAGTAGTTTTTTTTTTTTAATTTCTGCTTTAAGTTCTGGTAAACATGCATAGAATGTGCAGGTTTGTTATATAGGTATACATGTGCCATGGTGGTTTGCTGCAGCTACTGACCTGTCCTCTAAGTTCCCTCCCCTTGCCCCCTACCTGCCAACAGGCCCTAGTGTGTGATGGTCCCCTTCCTGTGTTCACGTGTTTACATTGTTCAATCCCCACTTATGAGTGAGAAAATGCACTGTTTAGCTTTCTGTTCCTGTGTTAGTTTGTTGAGGATGATAGCGTCCAGCTTCATCCATGTCTCTGCAAAGACATTGAGTTGGTTCCACAGCTTTGCTATTGTAAATAGTGCTATGATAAACATATGTATGCCATGTCTCTCTATAGTAGAATGATTTATAATCCTTTGGGTACATACCCAGTAATAGGATTGCTGGGTCAAATGATATCTCTGGTTCTAAATCCTTGAGGAATCATCACACTGGCTTCCACAGTGGTTGAACTAATTTACACTCCCACCAACAGTGTAAAGGGTTCCTATTTCTCCCTTGCCAGCATCTATTGTTTCTTGACTTTTTAATAATCTCCCTTCTGACTGGCATGAGATGGTATCTCCTTGTGGTTTGGATTTGCATTTCTCTAATGATCAGTAATGTCGAGCGTTTTTTCATGTTTGTTGCCTGCATAAATGCATTCTTTTAAGAAGTGTCTCTTCATATCCTTTGCCAACTTTTTGATGGGGTTGTTTGATTTTTTTCTTGTCAATTTGTTTAAGTTCCTTGTAGATTTTGGATATTAGACCTTTGTCAGATGGGTAGATTGCAAACGTTTTCTCCCATTATATAGGTTGTCTGTTCATTCCAATGATAGTTTCTTTTGCTGTGCAGAAGCTCTTTAGTTTAATCAGATCTCATTTGTCAACTTCAGCTTTTTTGCAACTGCTTTTGGTGTTTTCGTCATGAAGTTTTTGCCCATGCCTATGTCCTGAATGGTATTAGCTAGAATTTCTTCTAGGGTTTTTATGGTTTTGGGTTTTACATTTAAGTCTTTAATCAATCTTGAGTTAGTTTTCATATATGGTGTAAGAAAGGGGTCCAGTTTCAGTTTTCTGCCTGTGGCTAGTCAGTTCTCCCAGAACCATTTGTTGAATAGGAGATCCATTCCCCTTTGCTTTTTTTTTGGTCAGGTTTATCAAAGATCAGATTGTTGTAGATGTGTGGTGTTATTTCTGAAGTCTCTGTTCTTTTTGGTACCAGTACTATGCTGTTTTGATTACTGCAGCTTTGTAGTATAGTTTGAAGTCAGGCAGTATGATGCCTCTAGCTTTGTTCTTTTTGCGTAGGATTGTCTTGGCTATATGGGATCTTCTTTTATTCCATATGAAATTTATAGTAGTTTTTTTTTCCTAATTCCATGAAGAATCTCAATGGTAGTTTGATGGGAATAGCATTGAATTTATAAATTACTTTGGGCAATATGGCCATTTTCACAATATTGATTCTTCCTCTGCATGAGCATGGAATTTTTTTCCATTTGTTTGTGTCCTCTCTTACTTCCTTGAGCAGTGATTTGTAGTTCTCCTTGAAGAGGTCCTTAACATCCCATCTTAGCTATATTCCTAGGTATTTTATTCTCTTTGTAGCAATTGCAAATGACTACCCAGTAGTCATTCAGGAGCAGGTTGTTCAACTTCCATATAATTGTGCAATTTTGAGTGAGTTTCTTAATCCTAAGTTCTAATTTGATTGCACTGAAGTATGAGAGACTGTTATGATTTCATTTCTTTTGGATTTGCTGAGGAGTGTTTTACTTCCAATTATGTAGTCAATTTTAGAATAAGTGCCGTTTGGCACTGAGAAGAACGCATATTCTGTTGTTTTGGGGAGAAGAGTTCTGTAAATGTCTATTAGGTCCACTTGATCCAGAACTGAGTTCTAGTCCTAAATATCCTTGTTTATTTTCTGTCTTGTTGATCATGGACAGTGGGGTGTTAAGGTCTTGTCAACATGGACAGTGGGGTGTTAAGGTCTCCCACTATTATTGGATGGGAGTCTAAGTCTCTTCGTAGTTCCCTAAGAACTTGTTTTATGAATATGGGTGCTCCTGTATTGGGTGCAAATATATTTAGGATAGTTAGCTCTTCTGGTTGAATTGATCCCTTTACCATTATGTAATGTCCTTCTTTGTCTTTTTGATCTTTGTTGATTTAAAGTCTGTTTTTTCAGAGAATGGGATTGCAACTCCTGCTTTTTTTTCTTCACATTTGCTTGGTTAATTTTCTTCCATCCCTTTATTTTGAGAATATGTGTATCTTTGCATATGAGATGGGTTTCCCAAATACAGCACACCAATGGGTCTTGATTATTGATACAATTTGCCAGTCTATGCCTTTTAATTAGGGCATTTAGCCTATTTACATTTAAGGTTAGTGTTGTTATGTGTGAATTTAATCTTGTCATGATGATGCTGTCTGGTTATTTTGCACTCTAATTGATGCAGTCTCTTCATAGTGTCTTTGGTCTTTATATTTTGGTGTGTTTTGCAGTGTCTGGGTCTGGTTTTTCCTTTCCATATTTAGTGCTTCTTTCAGGAGTTCTTACAAGGAAGGCCTGGTGGTGACAAAATCCTTGAGCATTTGCTTATAAGAAAGGTTTTTTTTTCTTCTTCGCTTATGAAGCTTAGAAGCTTAGATTGGCTAGATGTGAAATTCTGGGTTAAAAATTCTTTTCTTTAAGAATGTTGAATATTGGCCCCCCAATCTCTTCTGACTTGTAGGGTATCTGCTGAGAGGTCCATTCTTATTCTGATGGGCTTCCCTTTGGAGGTAACCTGGCCTCTCTCTTTGGCTGACCTTAACATTTTCTCCTTCACTATGACCTTGAAGAATCTGATGATTATGTTTCTTGGGGTTGATCTTCTCATGGAATATTTTAGAGGTGTTTTCTGTGTTTCCTGAATTTGCCTGTTGGCCTGTCTTGCTAGGTTGGGGATAAAGTAAATTTTTTAAGCTTAGATTTCTCTTTCAGTTTGTCATTTCTCAGTCTTTATATAGTAAACTCTTCAACTAAACATTTTTTTAAAATTGTATCAAAGTTCACGTTTGATTTAGTTCTGGTACTAATGAGGGAATATGGAATGTGTTCTTTCCAGGTCCACAGGGGGCGGAGTTTTAAAGGCAAGAACTTCCTAGTGCCATACCCCACCTCCCATCTCTCTCCATCTGGGAGAGTTAACGGTTTATATTTAAATTTCGCACATGTGGGAAGAAACTAAGAGTCAATTACTCCAGTGGAAGTTCTAAGGAACTCCTTTCATTGGCCTGGGGTCTTAGAGAAGGTGGGGGTTCCTCCCAGGTTAAAGTCCCCTTCTTCCACACCCCTTCGGACTCCATGTTTGGGTCACCTTCCAAGAACACTCCCTTTGTGGAAGCCATATTTCTCTCTCCTGGATATCCCCTCTGGTGTCCCCTTCTACACTGTCTCATGGAAGCCTGTCTTCCCCTCCTAAACTCCATCTCTCTCTCTATTCCCTAATACTCTCATAGAAGCTGCTTTTCACTCCTGGATTCCATCTTTCTGCATTCTCTCACTCAGTGTGAGAGTTAACTGGTTCTTGCTCTCTCCTTCTCCTGTTTCTCTCTCTGTTTAAATAAGTCACTTTCTACAAACACTTTTGAGTCCGGCATTTACTGCGCACTGCATTGTGGTCCCCTCTCTCATTCTTGAGAGGGCAGGAGACCAAGAATCTGTAGAAATGTCCTCTCAGGGGAGCTGAGAGCACCCTGAACCCCAATATTACACTAACAGGCAAATTAATGATTAAATAACTGAATATCCTTCCTATATGAATGATGTAACTAACATGTAAAATTAATGGATTTGTTCCATGCTCATTAGCAGACACTACAGAACCACAAAAAGCTGAATCTTTAAAAATAAATCAGCCTTTCTTTTGTACCTAACTAGCAAATAAGTAGCTACTATTTCAATTTAATCATTTATCTGTTATTTTAGTGCAATGCATTAGAATAACACTCTGCTGATAGTAGAATTTTGTTGTTGTTCCCATATAGGTAAAAATATATTACCTAGAGAAAATACAAATTATAAAATATTTTCAAAGAATGTTTGGATGGTCATAAATACGAATGAAAAACATATACAGCCACATACATATGGTCTCACGGAAAGACACTATTTTATAAAAAGATGTGTTTTTATCATGTTCTTTTCTCTATTCTTTCTTATCATGTTCTACACAAAAGTGGGAAATAGCCATAAATAAAACAAAAATAACTAAGCCATACTGCCATTGAACCTTGGTTTTTACTCCATTATATCATATTCTAATTAACTAAGCATACATTTTATATTTAGGAACAAATCCAAAGAATGTGTTAAATAGTTGAAATTTCAAAGACAATTTGACTACTGTTTGGAAGTTTGGAAAAAGACACTGAAAATATCTATTATAGTGACAGACAATGAAATTGTCATGGAATTAATACCTTGAAGAAATTTTGTCTGGTTGTATGGTAGCTTTGTTATATTTAATGATCCCACATACAAAGTGACATTTGAAAGGGACAATAATATTAGCTCTCAATAAAGGAGAGTGAAAAGATGTGTTTTTCTCAAGGTTGTATCTTAAAAATAAGGACAAATCTAACACATTGAACAAACCCTCTCAATGTTATGCATGTATTTATTAATGTATTGAAAAACTTAGTTAATAAAACACATGCATTTTTTTAAAACATAAATAGTACCATTGGTAGGAAGAAAGGAGGTCTATGTAGCACAAGTGGATTTTTTTGATTTTTGAGACAAGGTCTCACCCTGTTGCTGAGGCTAATGTACAGTGGCACGATCATGGCTCACTGCAGTCTCAACCTCCCAGGGCTCCAGTGATCCTCCCACCTGAACCTCCCAAGTAGCTGGGACCAAAGACACATGCCACCATGCCCGGCTAATTTTACTATTTTTTATAGAGACATGGTTTTGCCGTATTGCCCAGGCTGGTCTCGAACTACTGCCTCAAGCAATCCTCCCACCTCAGCCTCCCAAAGTGTTGGGATTATGGACCTGAGCCACTGTGCCTCGCCCTTGGATTTTTAAATATTTTTTTATACACTGAATTTTAGAAGAGTAAGGAGGAAAAGTTTGAGAATGAACAGAACAAGATTCTATGCTCTGATCTATGGCTTTATGATAAAAAGATAATAGACTTTTGTTAAGAGCTATCATATATTTATTTTCAAATTACTTATGACATAACATTTAGGTGAAAAAATAGGGCAGCATATGAAGCTCTATTGAGAATGTGTTTTTAGTTATTCTCAAGTTAAAGTAGCAATAAAGCAGTTTGAGAACACTGATTCTCTAAGGAGTTCATTGCATCGTGTATGTGGGAAAAACTGATTTGGGGATTTAACATAAGAAAAATCATGACTCCTGCCACCCCAGTAGTTTTCATTTAATATCTTGGAAGGCAACTTATACTTGTACCACAGTAATAAAAACTATTAATGTCATTCAAAAGAATTAGAAGCGACAAAACAAAATAGGAAGAATGAAGAAGACCTATTGAATGGGAATCTTTAAACAAATATATATAGGTATTAATTCAAAAGTAAAGTCTCCAGAACTTAGCCTAGTTAATTGCACTGTGTAAATGCTCAAAAGTGTGTTCTATCAACTGAACTGAAGGCTATGTCTGGTTCCAGGTAAACATGTGGTAATGTTAACAGATACAGAAAAGATCTTAGGGCAAAAAGACTAAAATAAGCATTGTAAAGAATAAAAATTAGGAAGGATGGATGACAACTTATTAGGAAATGATCTAATCTTTTCAAATTATTCCAGGTTTTTCTATCCTTTATTAGTGAATGAATCCCTAATTTTTTATAAAAGATATGGATTTGGTAAGAAAATTCAAAGCTAGATCAAGCCTCAGATTAGTGAGAAATCATAGGAATTGAAATTGAAAAACCTGGGAATGGACAAATATATACTGAGACAATATGTTTTTAAAGGAGGTGAGAAGATATTTTGGAAGATTTTCTGTGGCACCCTTTACCAAAAGTCAAAAATTGGTTTTAAATAAATATTTTTCTTCACAAAGGAAAGCAGTTAACTAGTAGATTTTAAAAATCTATCTTATATTTTTGATTCTTCATTAGATTTTGAACCATCTCTATTACAACTCCTGAGATGCAACTGTCCCACGACATGGTTCATCAACTGGACCTGGTCATGTTGACCTAACAGGTATCCAAGTCCTACCTCAGGCCCTGGTCTGTTTGTAGCAAAGTCTGGGATAGTTGTCATCTTTTGGAGTCATAATTTCACTAGTCCAACAATGCCATAATTTCTCTAATATAAGTTTTCTAATATGGCACTTGAGGAAAATCCTTTATGTAATATATCTGGGTTTAGCTAGACTCTTTTTTAAAAAAAGATTTCATCTCATATATTGAATGCTCATATACTTTAAATAACCAAATATGGCCAATTACAGTGAACCGACTTTTTCATTAATAAAGCCCAACAACAACAAGAGCAACATGAAAACTAGAGATCACAGAGCCAGATTCACCTTTAATCACTTTTTAAATGATTTAATTTCAATAATTTGAATGTCAGTGCTGTTTTCAATTGATATAACATTTTCTTACTCAGAAGGTTTCTAGATTATCTAATTGTAAGCTTTTATCTTTACTATCAGACTATTAAACTAATTACTTTAAGTATTTTGGTTCCTAACTGGTTATCACAGTAATATCCCACCATGAAGTTTTTGAAGCTTCCTATTAGGATTCCTCGAGGATCTTTTGTTTTTTGTTTTTTGTTTTTTCAATTATACTTTAACTTCTGGGGTACCTGTGAAGAACATGCAGGTTTTGTTACATAGGTATACATGTGCCATGGTGGTTTGCTGCACCCATCAACCCGTCATCTGCATTAGGTATTTGTCTTAATGCTATCCTTCCTCTAGCCTCCCCACCCCCTGACAGGCCCTGGTGTGTGATATTCCCCTCCATGTATCCATGTGTTCTCATTGTTCAACTCCCACTTATGAGTGAGAACATGCAGTGTTTGGTTTTCTGTTCTTGTGTTAGTTTGCAGAGAATGATGGTTTCCAGCTTAATCCGTGTCCCTGCAAAGGACATGAACTCGTCCTTTTTTATGGCTGCTTAGTATTCTCTGGTGTACATGTGCCACATTTTCTTTATCCAGTCTATCATCGATGTGCATTTCGGTTGATTCCAAGTCTTGGCTATTGTGAACAGTGCCGCAATAAATGTGCGTGAATGTGTCTTTATAGTAGAATGATTTATAATCCTTTAGGTATATACCCAGTAATGGGATTGCCGGGTCAAATAGATCCTTGAGGAATTGCCTCACTGTCTTCCACAACGGTTGAACTAATTTACACTATCACCAACAGTGTAAATTAGTTCTATTTCTTCACATCCTCTCCAGCATCTGTTGTTTCTGGACTTTTTAATGATTGCCATTCTAATTGGCATAAGGTGGTATCTCATTATGGTTTTTATTTGCATTCTCTAATGACCAGTGATTTTCTTCATAAGTTTGTTGGCTGCATAAATGTCTTCTTTTGAGAAGTATCTCTACATATCCTTTGCCCACTTTTTAATGGGGCTGTTTTTTTCTTGTAAATTTGTTTAAATTATTTGTAGATTTTGGATATTAGCCCTTTTGTCAGATAGGTAGATTGCAAAATTTTTCTCCCATTCTGTAGGTTGCCTAGTCACTCTGATGAGAGTTTCTTTTGCTGTGCAGAAACTCTTTAACAATATCTCTTGAGGTGCCTTTTTAGATTAAGATGGAAAACATAAATAGTAATACACATTGGCAACTTCTAGCTCACACAATCATATCCAAAGAATTCTGCTTACTCCTGTGATATGGAGGTTTCCAGTTTTGTTATTACAGTTCTTTTTTTGGATGATATTAATACTTGTATTTTTGATTTTGGGCTGTTTGGTTATATGCCAATGCACTGCATTTGGGGATTTTTAGGGGACATGGATAAATGGCTGCCTCTCAAGGAAATAAATTTCTTCCCTGACACTGTATAATTATGTTATCAATATTAAATAGAAACCATTTTAGTGGGCATAAGCTTGAACTTCAGTGACATGTTACAACTCCTTCAACTCTAAATTTTCTTGACTCAGCCTGTGATAATTCATGATTACCTTCAAATCCTAGAGGTCAGAGAATATGTCTTAATAAGGATTAATAATGCAGGCATGGGCTTATTGTGGTTCATGTTTCAGTATCTCGGTATTTGTCTAACTCCCTAATGTAAAATGTCTGTTCAATTTTTATGTTTATCTTCAGAGTCTAAATACACTTTGTTTTATAAGAATTTCACTAAATATTCTTATTTGATTGATAGGCAATGTTGCAGTTGCATTTTTATATTATAAGAGTATTGGTCGTTTGTTTTCGTCATCTGACAACTTCTCATCGAAACCTCAAAATCATAATAATTCTGAAGAGGAGGAAAAAGTCATCTCTTCAGTAATTTCAGTCTCAATGAGCTCAAACCCACCTACATTATATGAACTTGAAAAAATAACATTTACATTAAGTCACCAAAAGGTAAGTTGTTTTTCTGGTAGTTATTGGCTATGATTGTGACTTAAAGAAGTGAACTGTTTTTCGTTGTGTCCCTTAAATTATCTGAATTCGTGAGTTTGAAAATACAGATTTGAAATTAAAAGAATGAAGTAGCTTTAACTAATTTTTCCATAAAATATTTTTTACTTTCAGGGCTCTTTAAACATTCCAATTAATACCGAGAAAATTATTAATTTGATTCTCTGGAATTAAGCAATATTTTAGTTTTATTTTTAAGTACACTGTCTATTTTCAAAGTATCCATAGTTTCAAAGAATGACTTATTAAAAAGTATCACAATCAGAGAAATAAATGTCACTTGTATAATAAGTGAGGTGTTTCCTTAATACTTGTCATTTTAAATAGTATTTGAAGGGATTCGGGATTAAGGGATTGATTAAAAGAAAATCATAGCAAAATTTACAATATTCGTAGAGAAATTAGTGGAGACCATTGTACTCTTTTATTTGTATTCTAAATCATTTTTCAGATTCATATATAATTAAAGATATACAATAAAAAGCATGAGTAGAACTAACCAACTATTTAACTATTTTAGTTAAAAATGAATGGGGACAACTCAAAATCACGGGTGATTTGCTACCATTTAAAAACTGATGTTATCTTAAACTGTCAACAGAATTTCAGTTCTAGTACATGATGCAAGTACTTCTGAAGCTCCATTTGAAGTACCTTGAAGTTGAGCAGTGATATTTGCATTATTATGGGAGGAGAAGGAGCTTTGTAAACAAAAAGAATATATTGGCTTACACACAATACAAACATGTCACTGCTAAATAAAAAAATCTAAGGAAGAGAAAAACTAAATGTATAGAAAATATAAGCATTATATTGAGGGAAAAAGAAGGTATGAAATTGTTTAATAATGGAAGCTACACTTAGACTTCTTTAGATGCTAAGTGCAAAAGACACTTTTAAAACTAAACACCAAACACTGTTCCTTGACATGATCTGATGGTTTTTCTGGTTTTTATCAGTGGAATGTTTTGGCAGCTAGAGAGTTGCCAAGAAAAACCCACTTTACCAGTTTCATAATGAGACACGGTGTGCTCTCATGGCCTTGTGGCAGTGGTGCACTTCACTGGAGTTTTCATCAGGCAGGCTTCTGGTCGGTCATGGCATTGGAAGATCCTGGATGTCAGTATCCAAAAGCAGTTTATTTCTGACCAATCAGTTTCCCAGGAAGAAACTTTTTTCTTTCCTATCTAGTCCAGACAGAAGTCTGGTTGAAAGTATTAGGAAAATTAAGAAAATGTGGTAGGAGATGGTGGGAAATCAGCGTGTAAACAGAACCTTACTTAACTGTGTTTTTGAATGATGCCGACAATCACAACTCAGTCTGGTTCCTCAATTCTAGAGTCACTTGCTTTCCTAGAATTAGGCACTTCTCAGGGTCTTTTTGAGAAATTAAAAGAATTTCAATTTTCTTAGTATAGCTTGACCTCCTTGAAAAACTTCTAGTAATCTCTCAAATTTTAACTCAGCTATCTTTCCAGACTCATTGCAGGCAAATTCACACTGTTTTTGTCAGAGCTCCAACTGTTGACCTAAGGGTTATATTTAGTATCTATCCCATCAAAACAATTATCTTATTGTATCTAAAATCATCTGAGTTTCTCTGATCCTTGAAGAGCTGATGGTCTTCTTAACTGATAATCCCCACTCCTTGAACAGTATACATGGTACATTTGACACTCAAGACATGTTTTCTTTAACAAATAGTTGTCTGAAATTTTGAGTTTGATTCTATATTAATCTATTTATCAATATTTAGTCTTAAATACATCTTAAAATCACATCTCTTGGCCTCTTAACATAGTATTTCTCTCAGAGGATGCTTATGAGAGTCAAACTAAGCAAAAGAAGCAAGCAAGTACATAGTTAACTGTAACCTGTTATATAACTGTAAATAGCTTTTATTTCTGCAAGTTCAACATTTTGTTTATGAATTATTAAATCATACAGTAGGTATAATCCTATGATTAATTAATATAAAAGTATCGTGAGGAGAACTCCACTGTTTATTGAGTAACTATCACACAGCCTGTCTGTGATATGATCTGTCCCATGTCTTTTATCTGATCTTGTCTTCACTATTCTTTACCTCATTCACTGTGCTGTAACTTAACTGGCTTCTAGAAGATTCTGGAATACCTCTGGTCAGTCTGACTTCAGAGCTTGTCCATTTGCAATTCCAACTGTTTGGAGTCCTCTATTCCCAAGTCTGTTGGACCTACCCTTCACTTCATTGAAATACCTACTTAGACATAATCTCCCAGGAGAAGCCTCTTTGAACAACTCTCCCTCTCACTTTCTAGTTATTTTTCTCATGGAATAATGTTTCATCTCTGACTAGAATGTAATGTCAACAATGTAAACGTTTTTTTCTGTTTTGTTCGGTGTTGTATTTTTAATACCTGGATTAATGACAAATATCTAGTAAATACTCAACAAATATTTACTGAATAAAGATGTATATGATAATTATGCACTGTGGTAAATGACATATGAATGATTTCCTTTAATAAAAATTTTCACAGGTTTGTAAGACAAGACTGATAAAATATAGCATTGTTGCAATTTAAATTTCCATTCTTCATGTAGCAGCCTTTATTTATTAGAATTTATTCTGTGTTTCACTGTTAAGGCATTGTTTCAATCACATTAAAGGTATCTTAAATATGACAGAAGCAATACTATATATGTAACTTTTCTCTCTTTTTTTCATTAGTAAAATGTCTTTTTTTCAGACGACAGATAGGTATAGGAGTCTATGTGCCTTTTGGGATTACTCACCTGATACCATGAATGGCAGCTGGTCTTCAGAGGGCTGTGAGCTGACATACTCAAATGAGACCCACACCTCATGCCACTGTAATCACCTGACACATTTTGCAATTTTGATGTCTTCTGGCTCTTCCATTGTAAGAGAATTTTCCCCTTCATAGTTATAAATCTGCCTATCTATGTTCCTTTTTCTGTTTTTTATCCATGTCATTCAAGACAATACTTAATTTTTTAATATATTTTTCTTGGGTTTAAATAGCACATTTAGTATAAGAGATAAAACCCCAACTGGATCTCTCTTTCTGTCTGTTTTCCTACCTATCTTCTAGAACATGTCTAGTATGCATTTAAGATTATTCCTAGCCTAAGAGTTATCTAGTCTGTAATATCTGGTAGATTACATGTTAAATTCAATTGTAATGCTGCTTTCAAGAGTCATTTGTCCATTTTAAAGTATCATGGAATTTATACTCCTTTTTCTGTGATTACAGTTTATTTTTACTCATGACAAAGCTCCTGAAAATATTTGACAGTTGGTCAATAAGTGTTAGCACACTCATAGCTAACATCATGATTTTAGCAATGTAGATCCCCACAAGATTTTTAAACATGAAGAATCTCTCTAAGGTGACTAGTTTCATAATACGTATTTTACTTTTGTAATATCTTGTTTACGTTATATATTGATTACATCATTTCTTATTTTATAGCTCTGTGCCATAATCTCCATTAGATTTATTTATAATCTTTCATTAAATATATCAAGTAACCAAACAAATCTGCCTAAACATAATGTCAGTCCTAAAGATGATTCTTTTCCTGAGCTTAAGCAAGTAAACATCTATTCTGTTTATAAACATAAGTATTCATCCAGTTAGAATAAAACCAACATTTTATATTTCAAAATTTCTGAACAATATTACTTGAGAATTCTTATGTTCAACACTGCTAACACCTTTGTTTCATGTGTTTTAGATGAATCACTGCATAGACATGAGACTTAGTCTTACCACTGATAAATCTGTTTTAATTAACCATTTTCACATTACAATAATAAATTGGCTTTCTAATGTAATGAAATTAATGATGATAACATTGTTAAACCATATACTAATACTAATACTATGCCTAGAAAAAAATCACCAATTACAGAACTGTTAAAGTGCTACATGATTTACATTAGATTTATGTGGATATTAAGGATTTTCAGAGGTACAAAATTTTTCTCATCTAAATGCACATTTATATTTTTACATTTTATGAATATTTTGATTAATGTTTCACCAAAAACGGAAGTTCATTATATGTTGTAGCTCCTTTGACAAATTACTGAGTTATTCTTTTAACAGCTTTATTATTATTTTCCCTTAGGGTACTAAGGATCATAATATTCTTACAAGGATCACTCAACTAGGAATAATTATTTCACTGATTTGCCTTTCCATATGCATTTTTACCTTCTGGTTCTTCAGTGAAATTCAAAGCACCAGGACAACAATTCACAAAAATCTTTGCTGTAGCCTATTTCTTGCTGAACTTGTTTTTCTTGTTGGGATAAATACAAGTACTAATAAGGTATGTAGGCACCCTAATCTCTATTTTTGTCCCATGCTATTTGTACTTTCTTAAATATATATGTCATAGAAACATTAATTGTAATTTAGGGTTTAATGGGGCAAGCATACTCATTTGTTCTTCGGCTATCCTTTCTAAGTTTGATAATACTGACATAGCTAAGCAAACTACTTATCAAGTCCCTTCAGCAAAAATGTCCCTCATTATGATGAATTATTGGGACAAATTAAAACTTTGCAACAAACTGAATAAATACTTTTTTTCTGTTTTGTTTTTAAATGAATGTTAAACAAAGACCAAGGAGAGGGAGAATTAAAAATAAAGTTTATCTTAGAATAGGGACTGAACATAATGCAGTGAGGATTTATAGGTGAAATGTGATAAACTGTTTCTACCAAGTACCTTTTCTAACTTCCCATTTCCCAAGATTATTGATTTTGAACCTTCCCAAATGGTTTCATATTGTGGTGGTCTGGGTCCTCCTAGAAGCAGGTGTTCAGATAGGGTTAAACATGAAATAGATTTATTCACGCGATTGCTGGTGAGAGCAAATGGGAAGAGAGAGTCTTGGAGAGCTATCAGACCAAGATTCAGGTATGACCCTGAGGGGGAGAAAAGGAGAGTGGGCAAAAGCATTCCCCACAGTAGTGCAGTTTTAAGGAAAGGTCAGCACAAGTGTCAAGAAGTCCTCTGGGAAGTTCTCAAACCAAAGTTACTTGTCAAAGGAATCCTTTGTCTCAGGAGCAGGAGTCCTTTGTAAGAGGAATCCTTTGTCTCTTACAGCAGTAACCCTACTGTGCTCACTCATGGGCTAGCAGCAGCCTATGGGAAGTGAGAGCAGCAGTGGATTTCCTATGGCTGAAGCTGTAGCCTAGGCCAGTTGCATTCCTTACAGTTGGAGATTGGGGAAGTCCATACTTGTGACCACAAAAAGTGAAATTGCCTCCATATTTCCACACTTAGTGTGGAAGCCTGAAACCAACAATCACTTAGTAAGGTTTTCTTCAGAAGTAGATGGCAAAAAAGTGTCTACTTTAAACAGTATACACTAGCCTATAAACTCTTACCTGTTTTTATGTTTTGCAGTGGTATTCGTAACACTTTTCAATTTTATGTATCTTCCACTATTCTCCAATGCCAAGTTCCTCTTTTAGTTACCTCCCACCATTATCTTCACTCAAAACTACTCCTTCTAGTGTTTACTTTCAACTCTTTCACCTACTAAATGTTTTCCATTTTTCCAGTCATATCTCAAATCTCACTTCCTTGCTAAAGTGATTTCCAAATTTTAATTACCAATGATCTTTCTGTTCCCCAGCCTTATAGAATACTCTCTAACATATTTTAGTATGTCATCTCATTAATTTTGAATTATATTCTTTTTTTTAATGAGATAGGTATGTAAGTATATATGTTCTATTAGTATGTGAACGTGTAACTACTTCATTTTCTGTTATTTCTTATAGGTCTAACTTCAGTTCTAGTTGTGAAATAAACACTGAAAAGAATGTTTAAATGAAAGTCATCTCAAATTTACATGAGAATCTTAACAATTTGAAGTAATTCTATAATGGATATTCTGATGAAATACATTATTAGTCTCTTTTGTCAATTTTATCTTTGTCACCTAAGATATTAATTTTATTTGGTTTAGCAGAGTATCGTAAGTAATTTTTATTCTTCGAGAATGAATAAAATAAAGGAAAACAGAGGTATCTCCAAAACAGAAATCAACTTAAATCCTAACATATTCACCAAGATACCATGGTTTACATGTGAATAATCCAGTTTATCACATTACATAAATATATAAAAGTTATAAACCTCTGGACAAAAACAACAACTTAGTTCTATCACAAGATTGGTTGATATTTCTTGTTGCTGAAGCACAGTTTTTGCTTTTCTAAATCAGCTAAAACTAGTTCTTTAAGAACTGACATGACAGGAATATTTTAATAAGATCAATCATCATATAAAGTGGCATACTTTATAGTATAATGAAAGTTGAGATTGTATGTTATGATAATTTTAAAACAAACACTGCCAATGGCTTTTTTTTTTCATTGATTTCTATCTAGCTCTTCTGTTCAATCATCGCTGGACTGCTACATTACTTCTTTTTAGCTGCTTTTGCATGGATGTGCATTGAAGGCATATATCTCTATCTCATTGTTGCGGGAGTCATCTACAACAAGGGATTTTTGCACAAGAATTTTTATATCTTTGGCTACCTAAGCCCAGCCGTGGTAGTCGGATTTTCAGCAGCACTAGGATACAGATATTATGGCACAACCAAAGTGTAAGTTAAAATGATTTAATGAGCATTTCAAATACAATATTGAATGTGCTTCTCATATCTTTGATAATTTTGCTTTGTTAAAGTACATACAAACGTATTTATAGGTTTTATCTTTTATTTACTTTTCAGATGTTGGCTTAGCACCGAAAACAACTTTATTTGGAGTTTTATAGGACCAGCATGCCTAATCATTCTTGTATGTATATACAAAATTGTCATTACAATTCCAAAACGTGGTGATTATAGGGTGCTTAAAATTTGTAGCAATAAGGTGTTATTCTAAAAAAAAAAGAAGTATTTTACAGTATATCACTTATCAGCATTTTACATATATTGTAATCGAAAAATATATGTGTATCTTGTAAATTCAAAGCTATTACAATTCATTTGCTCCTCTTGATGGAGGATAGATTTCTGCATAACATAGAGGAAAAAGCATTTTTCACTTATCAGTAATACCCTGGCATACTACAATACAGAGAATGTGCCAAACAGCTGATAATCTGGCATTTTAGATGTTTATGTTATTTAATCTTTTATCGATGATCGGTCATCTTTGAAGATTAGACTGTCATCTTTATAGTTTTATCATCTTTATGTACCCTGTCATCATAAAGTGATTTTAAACTAAATTACAACATCAGAGACAAGAACCCACTATTTCTCATGAACAGACAACTCATATATTGATAGTCCTATTTCAGCAAGGAAGAGGGCCTTTTAATTCTTATTGGAAGTGGTTTCAAACCTACAAATTTGGCAGGCATTATATGTTCCATTCTAAATAAAGACATATATATATATATATATATATATATATATATATATATATCTCAAGAGCATTTCTAAGTGCTGAAAGTTTTCAACAGTCTTTCTGAATATAATAGTCTGTCAATGAATCTGGGAGGCCTGACAAGACTCTAGAGTGGAATGAATTATCAGTAGAGAAGTTATGGCGATATTTTGGACAATTTTGTTCCATATGTTTTGACCATAAGCTAGCCATCTTTTTGAATTTCTTTTTCTCTTTTTCTTTCTCCTTTGAGTGTTTTATGGTTATGAGGGTACTGCTAAGTAGAAAAGGACTTGAAATACAAAGCAGATAATTTTCATCAAGCTGTATTTTGCAATGGTGTGAGTGAAACCAAGTGCATTCACAAACTACACTTTCTACTCATCACAAAAATGCATTTGTAATTCTCACAATAAGTCAAACAATATTTTATATAAGAAAATCCATGAGCCAGATTTAAGCTAAAACAATTTGAGTTAACTTATTCTAACTCCAAAGTTTTTAATCCACATAAGAATATAAAATGGTGTCCCACTCACATATTTTTATGGGTTACTCTGATATGAGTATTTCATGTGAAGACATATTCTACATATCCTAATTTTACTGATTTTCTCACCGTAGAAAAATCCATCTTTGACATTGTTTTGTACACCAGTGAAAGGTCTGTGGAACAATGACTCTTACTGTTTAGAAGAAAAGTAGCATGATAGGAATTATACTGAAACAACTAAATCTGGAGCATACTTCTCTAAAATAAGAAAGGGGAAGAATTCTTTGAAATAGTTTTTAATAGTTGCCCATGTAAAGCTAATTTGGATTATTTTATAGTAAGATATAGAGAATTTAGATGAGCTTATTTAAAAATGAGTGCTGCAAACTTTTCTAGAAGTCTAAATGAACAGTGTCACGTTGTTCTAGTCTGGAGTTAATGAACCAATTTATCTTCTATACAGCCTCGGTATAATCATTTCCAGGTTAACCAAAGGGTCAGCCTACTTAAAAAAATGAGTGACGCCCCTCAGTTTTACTCTAAAATTAAATATTTTTTATCTTTTATAGTATCCTTTTTAAATACTAAAAAATTCTTAAGTATTAAATCAAAGTGAATTAATTTACTCCAGTTATCTTTGTTCTCCTGTGCTAATGCATGCATATTTCTGTTGTTATTCAGTTGCATAACACAATGTTAAATGACATTTTTCCTGTTGCCCAAGAATAGTATCTAGTTCAAAGATAAAGTCAAAGAGATATTGAACACCAAACATTTAAAAAAGAGCCATCAACAGATTAGACCTGACTCTTCCTATGGGTCTTACATTGAAAAAGAAAGACTGGCTATAGCCCCTTGAGAGGACTAGAGAAGGCAGCTCAATGGGTGACAGCCCAGAATTAGGAGGGCTTGGCCTTTAGGGGAGGACAGTGTTCTCTGTTGGAAGGGTTTTGTTTTTGTTTTTGTTTTTGTTTTTTTTCCCTATGAATGAGAAAAAGTGATAGTGTTTTCTTCTACCCTGAAAACAGGATGTGAAGGACTCCTCAAAAAAGTTTGCAGGGCATGGAATCAAAATAGTAAGAGTAAAATTATCACCCTGATCTCACATTGCTAGAATGACTGTAGAGTTTTCATTTATCCCTGGTATATAAGAATATTAGATTATGGTGAACACTTTTTATGACAGTTTGGCATATATCCCCTGATTTGGAGCCAAATGTGAACCTAGAGACTAGCACCTGCTTTTGTTTGGAGTTTCCTGCAGGCTATGTGCTTACTGGAATATTCTTCAATAGCAGGGACAGAAAAGATTATTATATAGTGTGCCTAGTAATAAAATGATGGAGCAGTACACAATGACTTGAGCTATTCTATAAGCACAGATAAGTTGGAGAAATGGAAAGAAGCCTCAGGGCTGCCTAAATCAAGTGAAGACATATACAATGAAGAGAATGGATTGAATGGACATATGGATATCCATCTTTGAAGAATAAAAAGACAGAGGTGGAAATGAAATGCCACAAACATCAAGTAAATTATACACACCATCAAAGCAAAGACTGTCTCTTAAGCCAAGACTGGCAATGGTGATAAGAACTAAAGCAAGACGATATCATGAAGCTCCCCCATAACAACAGGTGGTCGGGCCCTTCTACCCAAGTGCAGAGTTGTGGAGCCTTAGCAGTAGAAGACCAGTATCTCAGAACAAACTACGCTGCCCCTATGCAAACACATATGCTTCAAGTATCTGGAAAAGAAAAAGAAGTAAACACCAGATTTTTTAAAATCTAAAATTACTAAAAGCTATGGCATGTAAATTTAAGTCAGCCCCTGACATTAAAAACAAAAAAGTAACTTTTATGTCACCAAAAAAATCTCTACTTTATGAAGTAGAGATTTCTTTTTTCTTTTTCTTTTTTTCTTTTTTTTTTTTTTTAAAGGCGGAGTCTCGCTCTGTTACCCAGGCTGGGGTGTAGTGCAGTGGCATGATCTCGGCTCACTGGCTCACTGCAATCTCTGCCTCCTGGATTCAAGCAATTCTCTTGCCTCAGCCTCCTGAGTAGTTGGGACTACAGGTGCACACTACCACGCCCAGCTAATTTTTGTATTTTTAGTAGAGACAGGGTTTCACCTTATTGGCCAGGCTGGTCTCGAATGCCTGACCTTATGATCTGCCCACCTCAGCTTCCCAAAGTGTTGTGATTACAGGCATGAGCCATCACGCCCAGACAAGATTCCTGTTTAAATTGAGTTCAGATGTTCAAAATCTATCACCACTTGCCATTTTTGGGATGGCAATGAGCTACTGATTAGGAATTTGTCATTCTATGCTTTAGAATATTCTGCTAGGTAAGGACCCAAACCATACGATTAAGTTCACCATGTTAGTTGGGTGATCTGGACAGAATAGAAAGACAAAGAAAATGTAAGAAATATTTTCTGCCCACTACAATAGGAATGAGGGGAAAAAACACAACACATATGATAAATAATAGTACATAATTAAATATAAGTGATACTGGTGAGATATGGAGAGATCACTATGACTTTCACAGTCATTCAAAAGTCTTCATTAAGATGGAGGACCTTGTTTGTGGATGTGACAAGAAGCAGATTCTGCTACATATGATTGTGAATGTGCAGAGGATTCCAAGTGTAAACTAAAGCAAGCAGCCCTTTTAAGCATACCAGGTTCCTTTTGAGGGAGAACAAAGGACAAAGCAAGAAGTAGTTAGCATTGTAAACCAGGCAATACTGGACATCAACTGAAGTATCATCATTATTCACAGTATTCAAGAATCAACTTTTTAAAATAGATTAATCACTTGTTAGTCTAGATTGTCCTTAACTACTAAACAATGTTTTACCTCCATAAATAAACTCATCTATTTCTTCTCCTCCACTATTATAGTAAGCCCCTTGCTATCCCTACTAAGATGTGAGTATTAAGAACAATAGTAAGAGGTTTTATTTTAATTTATAATGTGTTTGTTCTTATTTTATTTAACTTTTATTTTAAGTTCAGGGGTACATGTGCAGGTTTGTTATATAAGTAAACTTGTGTCATGCGGTTTTTTTGTACAGATTATTTCTTCACCCAGATAATAAGCTTAGTACCCATTGGTGATTTTTCCTAATCCTCTCCCTCCTCTCACCCCCCACCCTCAAGTAGCTCCCAGTGTGTGTTGTTCCCCTCTTTGTGTCCATTTGTTCTCATCATTTAGCTCCCACTTATAGGTGAGATCATATGGCATTTGGTTTTCTGTTCCTGCATTAGTTTGCTAAGGATAATGGTCTCCAGCTCCATCCATGTCCCTGCAAAAGACAAGAGCCCATTCTCTTTATGGCTGCATAGTATTCCATGATGTATATGTGCCACATTTTCTTCATTCAGCCTACCACTGATGGACATTTAGGTGGATACTCTGTCTTTGCTATTGTGAGTAGTGCTGCAATGAACATGTTTTTTTAAGATAGAACAATTTATATTCCTTTGCATAAATACTTAGTAATAGAATTGCTGGGTTAAATGGTAGTTCTGTTTTTAGGTCTTTGAGGAATCACCCCCTGTCTTCCACAATGGTTAAACTAATTTACACTCCCACCAAGAGTGCATAACCATTCCTTTTTCTCCCCTACCTCACCAGCATCTGTTATTTTTTCACATTAAAACAAATATATATGGCACTTTAGGTTCTGGAGTACATGTGCAGAACATGCAGGATTGTTGCATAAGTACCAACATGGCAATGTGGTTTGCTGCCTCCATCCTCCCATCACCTATATCTGGCATTACTCCCCATGTTGTCCCTCCCCAACCTCCCTACCCTCTGCTGTCCCTCTGCTAGTCCCACACAATACACCCCAGTGTGTGATGCTCCCCTCCCTGTGTCCATATGTTCTCATTGTT